ATTTTAGCATTTCAAATATATAGATTTATAATTTCAATTTAAATAAAAAAATTTAAGTAAAACTTTTCTATTGATTTTCCATTTAACAGTATATATTGTAAGTAAGCAAAAAGAAATACCTAATTTTGCATATATCCTATACATTTATTCTAGTAGTATAATTTCTTTAAATGAAATGATAATAAAGCTTTAATCAATCAACATTTATAAATAAAAATAAATTTCTAAAGAACATAAAACTCAATTTTTTACTTTTTAAAACAATTATCACTCTTTTAAAAGTCATTCCTTTTAAAATAATGTATCAAATTATTAGGCTAACTAATTTAAATTTAACATAATGAACTAATCTACAATAATTGATGTATGATCTTAAAATTTTAAATACAAAAAAGGTATCTTCATTATAAATAGTTTGGTAAAACTCATGTACAAATTCGCTTTAAATTCGAATGAACAGTACAACGAAATGTTCTGAATAGAATATTTTATTAGTAGATGAAAAAGGGTATGCTTTTATCAAAACAAATTATAATAATGATAGATTTATCTGTAATTTATAGAAATCTTTCAAATACTATAGGAAGCTTAATCAAGGTTACATTTGTTGGTATCTATTCATCATCATATTTTATAAAGCTACCCATATTAGGAAAAGGATACATAATTCCAATTTCATAAATTCTAGTTCTAAAAATATTTAACATTGAAAGCAATTTAAATATTTTTGTAATGTTAATATTTTATTTTGAATTATTACACTGAGTTTAGCAGAAAAAATATTACTATAAATGTATAAAAATATAATATATCAATGTAAATTTTCTTTAATTAAAAGAATAAACAAACTTTATTCCTATATATTCATAAAATAATAATGTATTGTATATACGATTAATTACATATAAACAGAGATTGGAAATCACAAATTCTATTAATAATTTTCTATTGATACTTTAATACGAGTATTTATAGTTTAGTGAAAAGAGCATTTTTTTTCATTGGTCGTTAATTTTATAATATTAATTAAAGTCTATTTTCTTATAATAAAGTCTATTTAATATTGAAAATTATCGAATTAAATGTTATTATATTGTTTTTATTTTTATTGTTATAGTTTTTATTATTGTTTATATTTTTTACATTTTCGTATTTCGGAGATTTTTCATTTAATTTAATATTGCATTTTTCATTTAATATTTAATATTTCTTTTAATTTATGGCCTTGAAAAATTCAGTGCGAGCGATTAACTTCATCTACTGAAAAATAATTGAATTGATAAAAGTACTAAAAATTTTATAACTATAATATTATATTAAATTATAATAATATAATATATAAACTATAATATATAAAAAAAAATCTAAAAATAAATTATGGAATTATATTTTTATTAGACATTTATAATAGTTTCATAATTTTCAGATTTTTTTAAGCTTTTCCATTGCTTGTAGTACTCAATAACACAAAGAATATTTTTAAATGTTATCAAGCAACTTCTTTTTGTGCTTCAACATTTTTTATACGCTTAAAAGTTCTTATTAATTACAATTAGAACATCAAATCTAACAAAAGTTTATTCATTTTAACTTACTATTAATTAATTACTAGAAGTTAATTTCTTGTAATTGTCGGTTACCAATAAGAAAAATTTTTCGTGCATGAACTAGTGGTGCATAGCACTGAATTAGCCAAGTATAAAAAACATAATTACTAAATTGTTATGGAATTATATATTTCGATACTCATATCATATCATGTTTTAATCGTTGCTATCTACTGTATTTTTATCTAAAATATTGCAAACTATATGCACACATATGCATATTAAAGTTATTTCTTAAATATATATACACACCCATACGTAGCTCATTTGAATACTTACGAAACAGTATGTCTGTCTTTTGTTAATGACGCATTTACTATACAAGGAGAATAGATGCCGCGTTCAGATTCTATAATTCTTAAGCAAGTGATCAAATTTGAATTATTTAATTTTTATGTCAATGTATCTATTTAAATTACATTATCGGTTACCCTACTTATTATTTTTATAAACGCAATACATTTTCTCAAATAGAATAAAATTCTAATAGTAAAAATTTCAATTGGTATAATGTGATACTTCAAATACAAGTAAATTTTTTTTATATAAAACATTTTGAATATAAGATAGAATTTTTTAAAGGAAATAAATTGACTGATTTTTCTCAAATATTGATATTTCAGTTTATTTTTTAATGTAAAAGAGCTTTTAAATTGTATTTGAAGTTTTATCAAATTACAATATTTCAGTTAGCATCATTTATAATATTCACACCTGGATGGATGAGGATTAAACTATTTAAATATTTGCATTAAAGAAAATATATCTCAATATATCAACCTGTTTTTTAATAGATCAATTTTCCTTTATAAAACAGAAAATATAAAACTTTCAGCTGAAAAAAATGAAATAAACAAAATAAATATATACTATTGATATGATGATATGCTATTAATATTGATGATTGATATGCTATTAATGAAATACCCTTTATAGTCAGATATATAAAAATAAAGTAATGATACTATAATTTGTAATATGTAAAATACTAATTTTATATTTAAATTGACGCCTAATTCAGTTTAATTTATCCTTACTGGTGAGCATTTGAAATCTAGCTGTGTATTCTTGTTTTGGATGAAGTACGTACTAAGTATGCAGATATAAATATATAAGATTACTCGAGTAGTCGGAATAGATACTGCGAGACCGTTTGAATAGCAAATAACAAGTGACTGATATTGATATTACGAAATGATCCTTGATATTACGAAAGCGGGTGATATGAGTTGGGTATGTAAGAGGGACACACATTTATGAGGATATATGTAAGCAATTTACGTGTACTTGGTCAATCTTACGATTATGTGCTGTCTTAAATGTATCGCATTTACCTTACTTATCTTTATAGTTGCTGTAGATCTCCCTATTTATAATATGCGTGAGCTGATATTCATTTCTTTCTTTTGATCTATTACTATATGAATTCGAAATTTTCTGGATATAAATGTCATTTTGTAATTCTTAGATTACAGAATTGTAAAATTACACAAAGTTTTAAAACTTTTATAAGAAGATTTAAAAAAGAATATACTTTCAAGTATAATTTTCATTGTATTTCACTTAAATATTTGCAATTTGAATAGTAGATATTACATGACAATATGTTCGAATGAATTTTGTAAATAAAAATGAAAATATATGATAGAATAAAAGATTTTACTTTTAAATACTTACACTGTGAACATTCGAGAAAATAAACGTATAAAAAGTTGTATAGTTAATTGTAATTATAGATATATTTTTAATTTTTTGGGAATTAATCGATAGTTAATCATTTTAAATAACGATTCGTTCGAAATAAAATTCTTTATTATTGATATAATAAAATTAATTTATTGGCAATAAGTTGAAAATGCATCATTTCCTTAAGTTTTAACTTATCAAATATGGAATACAGTTAGAAATATATTGAGTATAGTATTATTAATAAATACATCTATCATAATAAAATTTAATAATATATTTTCATCTATTGTAAAAAATATTAATTTAATGCATGCGCATAGTTAGAATAAGTTTCTATTTTATTTTGTACGTATGTAATAAAATTTCTTTTAACTAGTTCATAAATATATCATTTTCATAGCATCATGGCATATTTTGTAATTAACAAGCAGAATTATAAATTATTATAGTATACAGTAAAAATTGATACAATTTTTCATTTAGTATTTAAAAAAAATTTGTTTAGTTCTATAACTATGAAAACTATCAAATTCCTCAGTTTTGTCGTTATTTTTACTTTTTGAAAATATTCCTATGCACAAGCAGAAGTAAACAATATTTTAAAAACATTTTTTCATAAACATTAAAAGTTCTACTGTGTTAAAATAGATGAATATAAATTAGTATTTAAAAATTGTAATAAATTAAGAACGAAAGCTTAAATGTCAATAACATTAGTTAAATAATGTTCTTATATTGTTTGTATTATCAATGTATTATGAAATACAAAATTCATTTATTTCTAATGTCAGACGTAATAAGATAAATACTATTTATAAGGTATTGTACTACTTTAAAAAGATATTGTAAATTGTAGATGATGACTTTATATTAAATTGGATTTATGAGAAACAGATAGATATATTATTAATAAAATAATGAAATTAATAAATTTTGTAAAATCGTTTAAACAATAATTAACATAATATATTTTTTTCAGAATACATTAGAAATTATCATCTGCTCATAGTATTTTGTATTTGCGGTTTATTTATTCGAAATTGATTTTCGAATTTCCTTATGTTTATATTAAAAATATTAATATATGAATAAAAGTGTATAAAAATTAATGGATTAGTTTTGTAAAATAAAAATCAAAGAAAAAATAAAAATAATATAATAAAAAAGATTAAACTACACATAATTATGTACAAAACTTATTTATTAAAAAGAATATAGGAAATATTTAACATTTACAATAAGTTTTTTTAAATGGATTTTTTCATCATTAACACGAAGAAAATATAAATAGATTATTCTATATTTCTATTTTCACGACCTTCGGTTTCTATTGATTAACATTGGTTTTATTTGATTCTTGATATTCAGGATTTTTTTATATTGTCTTGTTACTTATCAGATGACTTATCTCAATAAATATGATATTTTGTAAATGCTATTTAATAATATAATAATAATAAAAATCATTATTATAATAATGATAATGATGATGATGACGATGATGATGATGATAACAACAATAACAATAGTGATAATAAGAATAGTAGTGATAATATTACGAATTACAATAAAAAGAAGAATATTTAGTGACAAGTTGTCATTTACATAATTATTCTTCACATATTCACAGTAATAATTAAAACTATTTTTGTAATTTCCAAAGAAACTTTTGAAAAGCTTTAGAAAAAACTATTAATTGCACATTGTCTTATTTCACTAAAAAGAATATCTTAATGGTGATATTGATTTTTCGTATTTTCTTTCTTATTATCTTTACTTTTTTAAATTAGTTAAATATTTTTTTAAAGGAATTTAAAGAATATAACGAGTTGTTATCGAATAGGCTATACAGAAAATTTCTCGAGAATTTCATATTTCCATTGTTTTTTATGTTGAATGTGCTTTACTTAAAGAGCTGTACATGTGTGAAATATCACAATAATATTTCTATTTGCGAATTCTTGCACAGTCTAATTCTCATTTTGTTAAGTGCCCAATTTATTTTAAGTTCACGCTATCATTCTTTCTTACTCGCTGCTAATTCCATTTTTTATATCTTTACAAATTGTATTATGATTTTTTTTGTAAACAAAACATTAAAATTTCCTTTAGCTATCGCGATCTAGAGAGTCCAGAGTATCATTACTGGAGGAATGCGTAAGATCACTCAATTCATCAAGATGTTTCTGTTTTTTTCGGACGTTCCAATGAAGACATTCAGCGAGGGAATCGAACCAATCAGTGATTTGATCAGCAGCACAAATCGATGGCACTGGATAAATCGATGTGGTTATCCTAAGACTAAAATAATAATTACTCAGTTAGTATAGGTTTTTCATTTTTAAATTTTTTGCCGATTGTGTTAGTATGTTATTAGAGTATTGATATTTAAAATTTCAAGAATGTATTTCTAAAATTCTCAAAACATCTTTTAGTTAGTTTACTAAAATAATATTTTTACTTTAATTCCATATATATATATATATTAATAACGTTCCTAATTATTCAATTTCTAAGGAAAATTTCTAAAATATCTTTACAATTAATTCTATTTTTAATTCTTCATTTTCATTAAATGAACCATTTACCATATACAATTTTGATATTGAATGAAATTTAAGGAAGTTAAATAAAGGGCTTACTTATTATATAGTAAAAAAAAAAAATAAATAAATGAGCCTATAGTTTCCAAATAAATAGTAATTATCATATATAAATAAAAATATATTTAAGAAATTTTTAAATTATTCAAACGAATATATACATATAAAATTTCAAATATTGACCGTAAATTGAATTTATCGCCGTACAGTATAATAATAACAGTATATACATTTGTATAAAAACACCATTAACAACAGTGTACATCAAATATGAAAAGTTAATCATAAATGAGAGTTCCTAAATAATATTTAAATATTTTAAATAAGTAAAAGAAATTAGTTTTTTTTTTCTATAAAGTATAAGAACATCCCATCACCTGAACAGCGACAGCCCACAGCCCAGGTCTCATTCTTGTTAATCGAATTAATAATGATATATTGATGCCAAGATATAATGGAGAGATAGCTTTCTCACATAAATATATAAAGGAACTCTTCCTCAAAGCATGTGACGGCCTTTCTCATTATTTTATTCCATAAATTAAGCTTCTAATATTTTAAAACAACATTAATATATAGTAAGTAATTTTTTAAAATAATTGAATATAAGATGAAGTATGCATAATGATTTTATTCGTGTGACAATCAAACAAAAAGAAAATTTAATTATTATGAAATTGTCCCATTTCCACAAAATATAAAGATGATATAGTTATATTGAAGAGAATTTTTGTTATAAGTAAATTTTAGAAAAATTTTAATGGGACAAACCTGTCCCCAACGCGTAGCTCTTGCTGATTGCGACCGTCGAAGGAGACGTAGGCTGTGCTTCGTGCTTCGCTATTCGCCATTATCTGTAAAAAGGTATAAGTTCTTTATTATTTTAATTCTCGAAGATTCACCTGTCTCCATGAAAGAGTTCCTGCCGATTTCTACCATCGAATGATACCCATGAGGTATTTCTACTATCTGGTGATACTGAAATCTAATTAAAAACAACATTTTAAATTCATGATTATATACATTTTTTAAATCTATTTTACTTTTTAATATTTGTATCCACTGCTAATTATATAGAATTACATAAATATTCTTTAACGTTATAAACTTGATTATAAAGCATATACAAGGAATGTTGTCGTCATTTATACAAAATTTTGTACTAAATATGCACAAATTATTCATTTTAAAGTTTATTCGAATTAATTACTTAATTAATCAATGATAATATAAAGCGAATAAACAATACGCATTTAGCGAATTAATACGATTCAAACTAATCGACCAAAGCTTTTCAATGAGGAAATCGAAATATTACTTTTAGCTCAACTCCGGCTGGTACAACGATCGGTCGAAATGATAGGGAGTGTGGACAAATGGGTGTGATCATGATGGCTGGTACTGATGGGTGAATCATGCTGGCTCCAGCAGCTACGGCATAGGCGGTCGAGCCCGTTGGTGTACTGACAATAAGTCCGTCACCCTGAACGCTGGTTACGTGTTTGCCATCGATGAAGAGATCGATGTTCGAGAGATACGGGGACGGCCCACGATCTACAACGACTTCATTCAACACCAAAAGATTTGTCGGCGGTTTCGCTGGTTGACCTTCATCACCTTTTCGCATTATTATGCATCGAAGTCTACTTCGAAGCGTAAGTGCTGCGTGACCTAAAAGTTATATCGCAACATAAGACAACATGTTATAAATAAATAAATAAATATTTCACAATAAGTATATAATTTTTTTTTAGTATATAGATTGCCAGTCAATCGATCATTCCTTATTTTTTAAAGTTTAACAATAGAATAGTGCGTATTCTATTTTACACGGTAATTCTAATTTTTACGTTATTTTATATTTCTACCTATGTTTTATCTCTTCTTTATTTTATCATTACATTCGTTTTTTAAAATTCTTTTTGATATATTATAATTTCTTTCTCTTATTTATCAATAACTCTGATAAATTCCGTTTGATTTAAATCTAATATATTCTATAATTGTTCTATGAACTCTATTTCCTTTATTATTTTAGCTTTAACTTCTTCTTCTCTAGCTGTAGTATTACTTTTTATCTTTGTCCTTTATCTGTTCTATTATACACTTTGATTTTTATTCTTCACATATTTTTCTTAACTTATATAAGTTATTCTATTTTTTTTTATTGTTTTTCCTTAATATATATATTTTAATATATTTAACATTTGTAGTTATATATCAATATTTGTTTTGCTTTATTAATTTTTTAATTTGTTTATTGTTTTAATATTGATTATATATTTATCATCCATTATTGAGTGTACAAATGTATGTGTATTATTCCTAATATCGCTTATTATAAATGTTTTTCATGGTTATTCTTTTAAGTTATATATGTTTAGATTATGGATACAAATTTCTTTATTAATCATAATATCTAGTAAAAACAATATTAAACAATATTCATTATTGATTTCTCTTTAATAGAAATTCAATTTCTTCTAGCGGCTTTTATTAAATATCTATTAAAATTTTATATACTGTATTTAAAATTATGATAGATTTGTAGCTACTTAATACGCTCTTCTTTCTTTTATAAGTGAACGCCCTTATTCCTTTGCTTATTTTCTCCGTTTAATATTCTTTTATTTAATCGTAACTTTAATTACTTCATTTTATTTCTATCTTTTATATTATTTTTAGAAGTCTCAACAAATATTTATCTAGTTAATTCTTAGCCAATATCTTCATTCTATTTCAATAATTTTGTGTTAGATATTTTACTTTTATGTGATATCTTTATCTGATTAATCTATTATTTATATTTATACTTATATTCTATTTGTTTGTTTTAAATTTAAAAAATTGCGTTTCCTTTTTTTTAAATTCTATATAATATTATTATTTTACTATTAAGTCTGTAAAATTCTATTTTAAATACTTGCACGAGAATATAAATACAAATATAGAAGTACATTAAATATATTGTTACATTAAAATAATTTTAGAATTACTATTCCTGTTTTAAATATAAGATAAATAATTATTCGAAACAGTAAATTTTAAATTAAGAAAACAATATTTCTATGATTAATATATAATTACGAGTATATTTATCGTACAATAAAATATCATAAAAGTCTCTTACTGAGAATTATAAGAATTCAAAGTATTTATTATATTAATTTAATTGTATTGTAATTAATTTGACTAACTGAATTCTATATTCAATATATATTATTATGAAATTTTGTTATGTACTTTGAAATATATCAAACATTTCGTTAAACTATATTGATTTGAAAAAATATATATGTAAATTATGCACCTTCTAAAACATTTGTTACTTGTTCTTGAAAGTTATCGAATTCGAATGGTGTTAAAAATCCCAAAGATCCTAAATGAAATGCCATGACGGGTGGAACTGACTGTTGAAATAGAAGACTGGCGTATAAGAGTGTTCCATCTCCTCCTAAACAAACGATGAAATCTATACGGTCCTGAAACACAATATCAATTAATAAAATATAATATATAAATGTAAGAACGATTAAAAGTTGATAATTTCATGTATTCAATAAGTCGTTCTAGTGTAAAATATTTTAAAAAATTAAAAAATTCGTTCATTTATTTAATATTAAAAAAATTGAAAATGATTTACAAAACGTCACATACAGGTATTATCATTATACATAATTATTATAGTTAGATAGTCAATTTAGAGTAATGATTTGCTTCATTATTTTTTAAAAGATAATTTTCAGTGATAGATTACCTGAAGATCATCGGTGCCGTCTCTGAACGTCTGCAAGCGATCCCTCACCCCCTGAAATCGCAGATCCTTTGCTAAGGCTGGATCTTCCAACACCGAAGCCTCTACGAATACAACCATTCGTTTTTCCTAAAATAAACAACAATTTAAGGTTATTTATATCATTTATTACGGCTCTAATATGTAATGTAAGAAAATATCATCGTTATATCTCGACATAATTATAAATATGAATAAATCTAAACATTTTTCTGATTTTGTAAGAAAAGTTTCATGACTTTAAAATATAATTAAACAAATGATACTTCTTATTAAGGTGTAATTACATTTTTTTAAACTGTAAATCTTTTCAATTAATCTCTGTAATAAATTAGTTACATTATTCCAAATTTAATAGCTTCAATATAGACTTGTAAAAATGTTTCAATTGAATAAATACAATTAACAGTACTTGATTATTTTGAAATTAACTTAAATCTGATAATTTCGTCAATAATTCACACAAAAAGTCTTTCTCAATTATTGATAAAGAAACAATGATAATGTTGTTTTCAATCAAATCATATTTGTAATCATATATATATCTTCGATTTTTAAGCGGATTATTCGAAAGCTTAATATAAAATTTTCATTATATTTTAATTTTTCTTTGAAAAAATAATATTGACAGGTAAAAGACAAATATAAAATATAAAAAATCCAAATCTAAGAATATATATTTAGAATAAATATACTTTTGCATATGAAATATAAATTTCTTTAAAAATTTTTTTTTATTAATATAAACTCTATATCTGAATTAATTATCTATGTTGACAAGGCTTACTTAATTCAACCGATTTTTTACCTTATGTGGTGCCATGCATTAAAGATCTTTAGGTATTTGTAACAGCAAATTCCAAAACAATTCTGGTCTTTGTAGTGATACAAAATTTTAAATGAATAATAACAATAGCAAATAAAACAAATTTAAAGTTAATTTTATATTTCATATGATACAGAAAATAATACTTTAATTGTATTTTTCTATTATAATTTATATTTATCTGAAATTAAATAAATTACTTGAAATAAATTTTTTTCAAATTAACGTGTGCACGCTTTTCTATAGATTTATTGATTATTTTTACTTAATACAATTAAAGAAATAAAATTTAATTTGTTGTAATGCGATAAAAAAATAAACGATTCAAAATGCTATATATGCTGTATATATATATATATATATATATATATATATATATAAATAAACAAAGAGCCCAATCAAGTTATTGAATGGTATGTTTCTATGTACTTATATTGTTTAACGGTATATTTTAATATATTTAATTTAATAGGAAGTGAAAAGAAGATTAATTTATAAGACTGTTTTTATGCTTTTCATACAGTATTTATCATTTTGCTAATTTTCTAATTCACCGTTGCAAAGTGGATATAAATGAATATAAATGTTTAGATATGAAACAGTGTTTGGGTTGGATTTATAATAATTTCATGGCAAATTTTAATACTATTGATATCACGCAATCATTAATTCTTCAATAAAATTTAAAATCATATAAGCAAAATAAATACTAAAGATAGTAAGACTTTTGAAGAGTAATTAATAAAATTTAAGTAAAGAGCAATTCAGAAAGACAGAGTTGATAAAATATTCATGGAAAACATGAATTTTTATGATTTTTCATAAATGAAATAGAGTTCCTTCGTTGAGATATGAAAAATCAACTAACCATGAGCTAGCGAAGAATGTAGTCAATTAGAACTGTTATCAAGGGTGCGAGTTTTGGGACAATTCAAAATATTATGAGGCTCATTCACTTACTTCTATTAGCCATGTAACAAGCTGCATAAATGGCGGCAACACTGACGAATCACGAACCTTTTTGATGACGAGAACAGTGAGTGGTGGCTTGTACCAAGTTAACCTCTGCGAAGCTGGATCTTGAATTGTCCTGCAATAATCCTATTGTAATGCTAATGGTCGACTAACACGTGGGGAAAAAACGTATGATTACTGAATTTTCATTTGTGATCATTTCAAACTTCACACCCATAAATCTGTAAATATTTATTAAAAAGTTCACCTGTTATATAAATATTTAATTGATATATTGTATGGAGAATGAAGTCTGTATCGTTTTAAATATTTTACAAAGAAATTGTTACGAAATATTCTCATGTATTGATCATTAAAAAAAAATTAATTAATCGACATATGGATAGTATTATATAAAATAATTTATTGCAATGAATCCATATATTCTTATACTTTTCAAAAATTAATCGTATTTAAATTCTAAATCATTCCGTATTTTTATACTGTTTCTTTGGATTATGATTAGTATTATGATTAGTAAAAATTATATATACATATATATAATAAATAATAAGAAAAAAAATATTATGATTAGTAAGAAATGTGTAGGTAAATTTTAGAATTTGTAATTATGTTCAATAATTATATATTGCAAAGTGATTAAATTTGAAAATTTTATTCAAAATCATATGAAGTTCATCACATTGAAAATTCCAAAATTATAATAATGTCCGTTATAAACGCGTTTATATAACAATATGTATACAACCCTAATGAATCAGCTGAATGTAATTTTAATAATGATTTCGTGTATTTTTAAAAATCATTAAACTTTAATTAAAAAATTATCCATAGTAAAATAATAATATGTATTGTTCATTTGTAATCCTATACATTTGTACTTTTTTTTTAATGAATAATTTTGTAAAATTGATAATATTTTATATTAATATTATTTAATTTATTAAAGTACTGAAAGTCGATTTTTGTATATGAAAATTTTAATCGAAACTATAGCTAAGTAAATAATTTTTTATATAAAACGTATCTATATAAAATAGTTAGATAGAGATGTTTATTATTGCATGTAACATAAAGTGTTCAATCTTATGAATTTAATCACTTCGTGATCTTATACTACTGGACCTTGTTGCAAGTTCGCGGTACATAACTTTTTGCATATTAGATACTTTAATTACAGCTACTAATAACTATTCGATATAAATGGTATAAAAGGCAGTATGTATATATTTATACATTTCATATGTAATAGATGATAATTTAAGAATTTAAATATTTAGTTTATAAATACTTATTTAATTGTATGAACCTCGAGAACCAGTCTGGAATTCCGATCGAATTGGAAACGAAAGAATTTCTAAACAGTATTGATAAATTTTAAGAAGCTAAGTTACTTTTTAAAGAATTTAGATATTTTACAGCAAGTTGACACGAAGATTATTACTTCCGCTACAAATTTAATAAATGCATGATCGTTGATATCATGTAACAAAAATGTCATCGTTTAAAAGACCAGTATTGAAACCAGTTTCATAATAATTAAATTAATGAATAAATTTTAAAATTTTAAACATTTTTTTTATTTATAATTTTCTTTTTATTGATTATAAAGATCTTCTTATATGAACCTCGCAGTCTATTCTAAATTTGTTTTACAAATTGCTAATTAAATTCTGAGTGTATAATACATTTAATGTTAATAATTATAAAAGTAAAACATATATTAATAAATATTGTACATTAAATAGAAGAACTTGAAACAATGCAATGTTATATAAAAGAAAAATGAAACGATACCTCTTGTAATTGTTTTAAAACGTTAAGCCAAAGCAATTAAAATTGAGGTTTTATTTACACAAATTTAATACAATATAACAATCAAAATGTTAGATTTACAAAAAAGTTGAAACATCGAGGAACAAGATAATAAACTTGTTTAAAATGATATTTCGAAAGAACGTACAATGCATAAGGAGTTAATGTATTAATGCCATTTTGCTGCTGTTTCGATCCAACGAACCTAACAGTCCCAACCATGATTATCTTAACGACAATGTTTTGCAATTTCTCGTTTCAACGACAGTCTCGCGCATACTGAGTAACGACATTCGCATATATTTTTAACTGGAAAACAATTGAGGCTTCTCGCGCATGCGTACAAGTTTTCGCGCTGTCTATGCTTACATATTACTTATCAAGTATCATTCTGGTATTGCTGATATACGATTGAGGGTGGGGTTAACTGACAGTATGGTCAAGCACTTTTTTCAAATTTTAGAACATATTTATTCGAACGATTATAGTGACATAAGCATATTAACTTAATGGAATTATCGTATTTTATTTTAAATCTAATTAATAAAAATAACAAAATATAAATTAAATATAATTACGATTTTTATTTAACTTGACTTCTTAAGAATAAAAAGATTAACTAGAAATATACGACACTATAATAATTATACAAATAAAATTTGTTTGTATCAGTTAAGAAATATTTATAAGTAATAAAATAATACGTGCGAACATCCAATATTAAAGACTTTCAAATTATAAACTATTATCTTATTTATAAAATAGGTAAACATTATCTCTTGCTATACAACCGATTTTCTAAAAATATTAACGGACGATAATAAATTTTATATTTCTTACTATGTTAAGTATCTTGAATAATTTAAATTGAAGCTATTTCTAAGCACTTTTTTTTATTTAATAGAATTAAAAACAAATATAAAAACTGTTTACATATTTTATTGGCAGCATATATATTATATTAAATTTCTAAATTAATGTTGAGTAGTTCATTTTAATAGATAATTATTCAAAATGATGATTCAAAAATACGTGTATACTACCCATCTTTATTTAACTGTATATTACTATTTTATTGTTGTAAGGGTAGTAGCAATGTAGGAGGTAAATTAATAATTTTTATTGGTATATAAGTTAATCTTGTTATCAAAGAAAATTAAAAGTGTAACAATGCCAATGCATTATTATAGACTATATATTTGAATATTAAATTTTTATAAATGACAAGACAGTTACTATTCATTATAACATTAATTTTAGATTAATTATATTCCGACCACGTTTGTTAAAAAAAGGGATATCAATATTATAACATTGTCTACATTTAATGTAATTACATAAAAAAATAAGTTTTTTTTTTCCAAATGGAGCGTTTTTTTTAACAATCCAATTGTGAATTCAAGGTTATTTATATAAACACTGCGGTGATTAATCGTTAGAAAATGAATAAAATTGAATAAATTTTCATGAAATATTAATGCAACGAAGAATTTGCATTGTTATTAGCATAAAAAGTAAAAAAGACTTGTAAAGATCTTGTATTTAATAATTGATAATTATAATCGATATATGAAATCATTGGCCTCACACTAATTTTTTAACTCTAATGCTAGTAGGGTTTTCAGAAATTTAATGAGGATTGTTATATTTCTACAAAAGTACAGTGTAGTAATAAAAAATTATGTTTAGTTAATTTCGTCGTATTTATTGTTTATCCCAAGTGATTAATTTATATATTTGTTTTCAACATAAGGTATAATGGACTGTCAAGATATTTTTTGCTATACGCGGACATTATGTACAGCATTTCAAGGTATGTGTTAATCACATGCAACACAGTGATCGGATAGACTCATGAATGATTGGCTCGACGATCGCATGTGATTGTTTGTTAATTAGACGGCATTTTAATGTATATTAAAGATGTATTGTTACACTTTTATGAACTTAAAACAGTGCATTTAGTCAGTACACTCATTTTTCTCTTTTGTATTTCTTGTATGTAAATTGTATATAAAATGTTATATATAATTATTAATTCATTTATTATTTTGGTTATATAATGTTATTTATATAATTTTTAATGTGTTTGTCATTAACGTCATATAACATTGGTACATACATGTATAAATAATGTAAAGTGGATAATTTCATACTTTAAACGTACTTTTGGTTTTAATAAAAATGAGCTATCTCTAATAGTATATTCATTTACAGTATAATGATTTTTATTTTACAATCATTATGAGTATTCGTTTACCGTTCAAATTATTTTTTTGCATACGTTCTTGAAATGTGTATTCGTTTCACTGATGTAAACACATAATTTTTCTCATAATATTTGAACTATTTAAAGTTAAATATTGATTTAAAAAAAATAATTTTGTTAAAATTTGGAATCCTAAATTACTTTCTTGCAGATTATATTTAAGGAAGAAATTGCAGAATTCATTATAATGAAAATAGAACATAAATATTACGATATTCCATCTAAAAATTTTGTTCAATTGAGTGTAGTATTATTCTATTCGTTTGAATTATTGTTGTGTATTACATAGATTTTATTTTAATATGCAAAAAAAAGTAGTTAAAGTACATAAGTATCATCCGACACTTATATTCCATTTTCCTTTAAACAGCATTAAATGCACACAACTAATTTTATCCTTTTATTTTATTAACAGAAGGAAAATAAGGATATCTACAAAGGTAAAAACGATATAAATTGTTGATAACTAGTTGCAGTGATTTTTAGAAATTACAAGTACACGTAAATTATTATGTAAACGTTTAGTTAGGAATAAAAAGTATGAGTACATGATACTTTATGCTTTTGCGAATAAATTTTTTAGTTATTATTATTTATGTTTTAATAGAGATAAATTAAAATACAAATTATATTTATAAACTTATTTACTTCTACTCACATAACCATAGCAGAGTTTTTCATGATACGTCCACATGGTCCGAATTGTTGAATAGGGCTTGGCGCATTAAGACTCCTAGTTCTCCTATAAAGAATATACAAACTTTAGCTGATATGATTAAAATTAAACGCAACAATAATTTTTCAATAATATAAGTTAGGGAAATGAATTGAAAATAAAAAACTTATAGGTATTATGTGTATTATTTTAATTTCATTTTCATTTTTTAATTTGAACTCTTTATTTTATAAAAGTGAAAATTCATAACATTAAAATACATATTTAATGTTAAAAAATAATAAGTAACATTTTATGGAATGTAAAAATAATTTTAATATTTTATAATAATTTTAAATATCATATTGCGTGCTCAATATTACTTATATATTAATTACTTTCATACCTACAAATTATAAGTAAGAGAGCTAAAATAAATAAAATACGAACTCTTTTTCAATTTTAGTACGTAAGAACTGCATCGTAATGTTTATTAATAAGTTTAGAAAAATTCCCCTTAATTTAAGTTCCTGCCTTAAGCTTGTTAAACTTTATTAATAATTTTTTCATTATTTTTTAATATTATAAAGATTTACTATGGATACAACTAATTTGGAATTACAAATTCTATGACTAATAATCAGGATATTAATTTGAAAAGCATTTAAATAATTTTTATAATTTTCTTTGTTCATTGAAAATTTATATATAAATATGTAAGCTATTTAACGCAGATAATTGTTGATAAAAAGAATAAGAATATAAAATATTATAGAAGATTTTTCTACCAGAAAGATAAAAATACAATTTTAAAAGTGTAATTTTAAAATTATATATTTTAATATTAACAATATATCAAATAAAGAAACGGTTTTCAGTTTTTTAATAATTTAATAAATATAAAAGATGCCTAATATTATTTATATAATACTTATAAATTATGATTAAATAAGTAATAGTTTGTGGTTTCTTCAAAGGCATACAATCACATGAGCTTAATTACTTTTAAGTACTTCATGTAGACAAAAATTAGTCCAACTAATATCACTAATAAAATGAAAAAATATACGTATTTTTAGTTCATTTTACTGAAATATTCGTTTTTTGTAATGAATATAATTTTCTTAAACAACAATGAAATTATGACTCGTATTGCACCTGAGATGTAGAATAGATCATACGCTTAAAAATACCAAGTCATTATTATAATGAATTTCCGTATTTTATATAAACATAATATTTCAACAATTAAATATCCTAAGATTTTCTATAAATGAAAACTGCTTTATTTTTGACGCGAGTCTTATAGTACCCTTTCTATACTTCAATTTATTTTTTTGCAATGGTAATATTAACTTACTTTGATATTGAAAATATATGGATTCCTCTGCTGGTCATATCAGTATTATTGTTTTTCAGATATTTTAAAATTATTTTATTCTATAATAATCCTGTTTTATATTTTTATTCACAAATACACGATAAGAGTACATTATTTGTTCTTAAATACATTACGCAATTAAAAAAAATTATTTTTTAGTTACTGCATTTACATTGAGTAATTTATTACCTTTCATTTACAAACAAAAATGATCACCATTTACCCATATTTTATCGTATTCTGTACTTTAATAATATATGTAATAATTTATACATTAATTTCAAATAGTACACGTTAAAATTTATTTTGTCATTTAATATTGTAGGCGGACAGCATCGAGCTTACATAGGAAATTAAAACATCTCATCACTCTCTAATTTAAAGAAACTAAGAAGACGTAAGTGTATCTTATCGTTATAAAAAATTTCATTATGTACGAGGTTATATAAGGTAGTTTAGATGATTTTAAAAATGTTAATTGAAAACAATTATTGATAAAATAGACTAAAGATTAAGAAACCAGTAAGGAGCATATGTTTTGTCATTTACTATAAATAATTTATAAGAGTGTAGCATAAAAAGTAGATGTATATGAACATGTTTATTTTTGAATTATTGAAATAATTTAAATCTTCAATCTGTACTTGTAAAATGATTTAAGTTTAATTATAAAGTTCGGTTGCTATCTTAAAATCCATTGTTACTTATAAAATTATACTTATTATACTTAAGAAGTTCTTTAGTTATTTAAATAAAATTTAAATTTAATCAAACACAATGTATTATATTCATCTAATAATTCTTTTAAACTTCCAAATTTTTTTTAGTTTCATTAACTATTTGTGGCATTATTTATAAAATAAATCTATTGTTTTATTTATTTTACATTCAATGTAAATATTTATAAAATGAAAACTTTTTTTATTAACTTTACTTCGATAAGCATATAAAATATAATAAAACATCACTCATGAAATAGAAATTTTTTAATAAAAGTTTAACATTTATTTGTTATCAGTATATAAAATAATTTTCTGTTGTATAAACACATGCAATTCGCATAATCTACTGTTGTTACTTTGTATTGTAAAAATAGCATGAATAGTATCCTACAATAAAAATCAACATAAAAAAAAATTCATTTGAATCAACGAACAAATTCCAATCAACTTAAGAGTGAGATATGAGTGTCACGATGTAACATTGAATGGCTATATTTTACTTGAATAGCACCCCATGGTGTACAGATAATTTGTACACTTTCATGTGTAGTGTTGTCAAGCCACGTCACAGCTACGCATTTCCACAGATTCTTACGCAACTAACAACAGCAATTGAGGGAATGACACATGAAAAATTGGAACACTATAAATATTATATATGTAACTGAATTCGGCTGATCACTCTTCCAGTTTCCTATCAATTGATTTGTTGGCCTGGTATAGCGACCTCTCTTATCAGCCTTTCAGAATTTATTTTAAGATAATAAAATTGTGGGATGTTTGCGTGAAGTTGAAATCGGCGTTGGATTAAAATATTATTAAAATACTAACAGTTGAGAAATTCAAAACCATATTGGCTTCCCTGTCAGGCATTTTATTTAAAAATTTCTCTCTTCTGATCATATTAGATTATACATGCTTTATAATAATTTTCATTATTTAAAATAATTAAGTTACTTATGCATGATAGTATATATAATAGTACTTATTATTATATTATTATAATATTAAATAGTTATTATTCTCGTAATATAATATATATTTTCATACAAAAAAAATCATTTTGAAAATTAATATTATTATTATTTAAAAATATTAAAATCGAAATATGTATTTGCAATAAAATATCATTAAAGTATTAAAAATATAATCACAAAGTTCCAACCAAACTCTGAATTATTAATAGGATGAATAAAATGTTTTTCAGATTAATAAAAAATATTAATTTAAGATATATAATTTCAACGAGTAAAAGAAAAAGTTATTTCGGATCTTTATATTCTTAAATTGTTTTATACGATAAACCTTAGAGTATTATGTAATTCATTTTATGCTTACAAATATAACGCTCATGTTATTATTTATTAATTATGTCTTTACTTATTATTCAGAAATAAATATCTTCTCGAACAAGAAATTACTGCTATAGAAGAAAATATATAAAGTTATGTTATCATTGCCAATTTTGTATTAAAAAAATTTTATATTATTTTGATATTTTAAAAATTGAAAATTTACGAATTTTACAAATGTTCAACATAAAATAATAACAGTATTTAATGATACTGTACGTTCGATAAAATATTCATATTGATTATTATTATAATAATTAGGTAAAATAATAAAAATAAAATAAATTATAAAAATAAATTTTTATATACTTTTAAATGCTTTTTAATCTTTTTTTTCATAATAAAAAGCAACTTTTATTTATATATTTTTTAGTATGTAATTTTCATATTTACATAAATAGAATGATTTATCAAATAAGAAGTACTGTTTATTTTTCTACATTATATTAATGCATGCAAATATTTAACATGTCTTCATTTTGTTTTATGTTTATACCAAAAGCTAAGTGCAACATCCATAATTTCATTATAATTATTTATCGTCATTCATGTATTTGAATATTGTTTTCTAAAATATTATCATAATTGATATGCAACACACTATTAAAACGTAAGATTTGATAATTTGTTCAAATTTTTGAGGATCGTTATCATTTTAAATATATGCTGGATTCCAATAATTAATAAATATGTTAGCTGTAATATATCAATATTTATCTATATCACTGTAAATACTTTTTTTTACTTTTGTCAAAAAATATTATTTGGACAGTGTATTTAAAAAATCTAATTCTAACTTCAGATCTTTAAACATTTTAATTTATTATAGTAATTTTACTATAATAGGAAGTTTAATATTATAGATTTATACTTATATTTTAAATTTTACGAATAAGAAGAATTGATAATAAAAGATATAATAAAAAACTTTGGATTTCTTTTCTAAATAAAAAAATTACTATGTTTACCGATTAAATAATATGAATGGATAAGTATAATCAATATGCATTTTTAATGTTCTAATAAATGGCTAAATTAATATACATAAATAATTTTGTATTAATATTACAAGAATAGTTTATTATCTAAATTTAATTTCACTATTCATTCAATTTCATTTCAATTTCATTATTTGTAAATAAATCTTCAATTCAACGACATTAAAAAATATGAGAAATTTATAAAATAACAAAATTCAGTTTTAAATTTAATTTAAAAATTAGTATCATTTTTCATTCGTATAATTACAAACTAATCAACTTATAACATATCAATAAAAATATTCTAAATTAAGTTAATTGTATTTAAAAATGATTTAAATATTATGTAATTGACATTACTATAAATTACAACAAAATCATTTTTGTAAAATATTTTTATTCTGTAATATATATTTTCAGATTTTAAAAATAAATGGGAAATTATAATTTACATCTACACGATATGACTTCAGAATATAAATTTTATATTTTTATACCATACTTTTAAAAATAAATATTGTGTTCATATATATTCCATTATTACATTGATTAAAAAGTGAAAAATACTATAATTTTTAATAAAAAGGTTTTAAATAAAAAAAATTGCAATTTATAAATTTCACTTAATTAAATAATATATATTCAATGTTTT